GCTCAATGTTTAAGAGCACTGGCTGCTCTCCCAGAGGATCAGGGTTTGAATTCTTTGATTCCTAGCACACACTTTGGCTCACAACCAACTATAATTCAAGTCCCAGGAGGTCTGACGCCCTCTTCTGGCCTCCTCCAGCACGGCATACATATGGTGCACAGATATGCACAAAGGCAAAACACCCATTCACATAAAAGAAAAATAAAGAAAAAAAATAAGTTGGCTTATTTACACGGTGAATGCCAAGGTCTCGTTGGGGACCAGACAATTAATAAACCACTAAGTGTGGAAGACACACCGACAACAGCCCTGGACAACTGCCAAAATGACCTCACTTTCTCAGCTGTATGAAGCAAGTAGTAGTCTTCAGATTTTATTTTGGTCCACCATGCAGGACTAAATCACCTAGGGCTAGCCTGGGGTAACTGAGGGCAGTAGGCCTAAGAACCTAGTTCTAGAAATCCACTGTTCTGAGTATTCGCAGTGTGGACAAAGTACAGGAAAAAAAAAATCAGTTATCTTTGACGTTTAGGTGCCTAGATATGAGCTCCACGGGATGAAGCAATGCCCTGATGTCTACGCCGAGTGAGCAATGAAGCCCCCGAGGAGATTCAAGAATGTATCTACTAGTATAAAGGCTCCTGTCCAAAGTTCCTTGAGCCAGAGCAAAGAGATGTCATGACTTGAACAGAAAAGGATCAATGATTTCCTATTCCTGGGGAGAAAAAAGAGAGAGAGGCGGCAAACACGACTACCTCGAGCTGGGCTTGCACAACCAGGGACGGCTGAAAAACGAAGGCCTGTGTCCCACCGCCTCACCCCACCGCCTCACCCCGTCCCAAGCCCTACACCAAACGCGGTTTGAAACGCTTCCTGGCGAGAAGCCGGCTAAGAAACAGCGACTCTTAGGACCCACCCGAGACCGGCTAAGTCACTCTCCGAGGGCTCGAATGTCAGTCTCTCGCCCAGTCACAGCAGTCTGGAGGGGCGAAGGTGGCCCCGATTCTAAGAGGGGCTCTCGGGGTGGGAGTCGGGGCGCCCCGGGCGCCGGCTGGGAAGCACCGCCTCGGCGCCGCAGGCCGAGGAACCGGGAAGGCGGAGCGCGCGGCACAGGCCCGGTGGGGCCAGGACGCAGGCAGCAAACCGAGCCACGTCCTGCAGGCAGCCCACTCACCTGAGGCCCGCAGAGGTAGCGCCCCAGCGCCAGTCCCGGGCCGCACAGGCGAAGTCAACACACGGAGCCTCCAGCATCAGCCGCCCCACAACCCACTTCCGGCCGGCGGCCTCCTCTTTCCGCTTGCGTCAGTCCCGAAGCCGCCGAGGCTCAAAAGACTTCAGCGTTTCCCCCTGACATTTTCTAGTGTCAAGTGTAAAGAGGTAACCGAGGATGTGCAGAAGGAAAAATAGTACCCTGGATGGATCGCTTTGGAAGCAATTGAGCAGCTTTGCACAGGTTCGAATCCTAGTATTACCATCAAGGTTTTATGACTTTGGAAAAGTCGCATAAACTTTTCAAGCCTAGTTTGTCATCTACACAATGAAGATAATGATGCATTTCCGATAGTGAAAATGCTTATGCTTTCAGAAGAGGAACTGGCAATGGGTAGATGAAAAAATGGGCTCAAGGAGCCGGGCATGATGGCACACACCTTTGATCCCAGCGCTCAGGAGGCAGAGGCAGGCAAATCTTTATGAATTGGAAGCCAGCTTGGTCTACATAGTGAGTTCCAGGACAGCCATGGCTAGGTAGCGCGATCTTGTCTATAACTAACTAACTAACTAACTAACTAACTAACTAAATAAATAAATAAATAAATAAATAAATAAATAAATAAATAAATAAATAAATAAATAAATAAATAAATAAATAAAAAAGAAAAATGACTGCAAGCCGGGCATAATAGTGCACGCCTTAAATCCCAGTACTTGGGAGGCAGAGGTAAGCAGATCTCTGAGTTCGAGGCCAGCCTGGTCTACAGCGCGCATTCCAGGACAGCCAGGGCTACACAGATAAATCATGTCTCAAAGAAACAAACAACCACAACAAAAATGGATGCAAGAAGCTGGGACTGGAGGAGGGTAAGTCAAGGATGGTCTTGTACCTCTCTTAGGAGGGTCTCCCACCTGGGCTGGAAGGGATTCTATCAAGTCCTTTGTAGCAGGAAGGCCCTTCCCAGGCTGCCATCTATTTAAAAGCTGTGAAGGAGAATTGAGACGTCACACTCCCTCCAGGGCACTGGTGAGAGGACCAGGGCAATGTAAGAGGTTGTGACAAAGAAGCTGGAACCCAGCATCCAAGCTTCTGAGTTCTATGTAAGGCAGTTTGCCTGGGTTTGAACATTTGTGCCCCTGGACCATTGGTAACAGGGTTTATATCCGCTAGGGGCTTCTTGCTGGTAGGTTCCAAACCCGGGACAAACATCTGAGGTGCCCGTTTAACCAATCAAAATGGACCAAGCCACCAGGTTCTCTCAGTACCCCTCAGCCACTACCCCACCTCCTACCCTAAACTTCTCCAACCCTCTAGCTGGGCTGCTCTTCCCCCACCTACCCTTCCATATATATGGACCTCACCGACCACTTTGGTTGTCTGGTCCCTTTTGGTCTCTCTCTTTGGGGCCTCCTGGCTGTTGCATCTGGTTCTCCCCACCCCCTTTCTCCCTCTCCTCACAAGGCTCAGGGTCATGCCCACTCTGGACTCTCCCAGATGTCCCTGCCTCTGACAATGTCTCCCTTTTATCCACAATAAACTTTCTTCCCTACCATACCTAGGAGGAGTCATGTCCTTTCCTTTTTCTTCTTTTCTCATTCACTTATGGGATTACAATCTGCCTGCAAACACAGAGTGAAAAATCCCACACCCAGGGAACAAAACTTGGTTGCTCCTGAGCAGCCATCAAAGTCCAATTTCTCTGCCAAATACTGTTTCCTAGTCTCCTCTGAAGTGAGAGGAGCTTATGGCCCAGCTCTAGCCAACAGGACTGGAAGGGAAGAGTTATGGCAGGGTCCTGGGAACTTTTGCTCTGTGTGCGCGCCCATGTGTGTGTGTGTGTGTGTGTGTGTGTGTGTGTGTGTGTGCGCGCGCGTGCGTGCGCGTGCCAGTGGTCAACATCAGGTGTCTCAGTCACTCTCCATCTTACTCTTTGAGACAATGTCCCTCACTAAACTGGAGCTCACGGATCAGATTTAGCTATACAGGCTAGCCAAGGAACTCCAGGGACGCATCCGTATTCCATATTCTGGTGGCCCCTGTGCTGGGGTTACAGACACAGACCAGGCCTCAGGGCCTGCTTTTATGTGGGTGCTAGGAATCCAAACTCAGGTTCACATGCCTGTATGGCATGCACTGTATTGATAGAGTCATTTTGCCAGTCCACAGAAAAGCTTTTTTTAAAAAAAGTATTGGTATTTGCTTATTTTCTTTCTCTTTCTTTCTCTTTCTTTCTCTCTTTCTTTCTCTCTTTCTTTCTCTCTTTCTTTCTTTCTTTCTTTCTTTCTTTCTTTCTTTCTTTCTTTCTTTCTTTCTAATTTTGAGACAGGGTCTCACTATATAACCCTAGCTGTTCTGGAACTCACTGTATAGACTAGACTGGTCTCCAACTCAAAGATCTGCCTGCCTCTGTCTCCTGAATATTAGGATTAAAGGAGTGTGCTATCACATTCAGCCTCAGAAAAACTTCAATTCTCCTACCCCCCACCCCCCCAACTCTGAGACAGGGCTTCTCCTTGTAACAAACAGTCCTGGCTGTCCTAGAACTAGCTCTGTAGACCAGGCTGGCATTGAACTCACAAAGATTTGCCTGCCTCTGCCTCCCAAGTGCTGGGTGGGATCAAAGGCATGTGCCACCACTGCTTGGCTCAAAAAACTTCTAGGGGCTGGAGAGATGGCTCAGAGGTTAAGAGTACTGGCTGCTCTTCCAGCGGTCCTGAGTTCAATTCCCAGCAACCACATGGTGGCTTATAACCATCTGTAATGAGATCTGGTGTCCTCTTCTGGCCTGCAGGCATATATGCAGGCAGAACACTAGACATCATAAATAAATTATAAAAAACACACACACACACACACACACACTTCTAATATCGTGATAAAGTGATGCAAATCATACTCATCAAAAAGTTATGGCACTCTGTGGCATAGAGGAAACAAGGTAAGAAGGGAGGTTGGGAGGATGAAAAACCTAGACTCTAGAGCTTCTTAACCTCCCTAAAGCTGTGACCCTTTAATATAGGGGACCCCCAACCATAACATTATATTCACTGCTAGTTCATAACTGTAATGTTGCCACTGTTATGAATCGTAATGTAAATACCTGATATGCTACCCCTATGAAAGGGTTGTTTGACTGCAAGAGGTTGCGACCCACAGGTTGAGAACTACTGCTCTAGATCCACAAGGAACCAGAATCTGTAACACCTATATCTAGAGTTATTGGGTGAAGGGAAAACAAACCACTCTGTAAAAGTGTAGATCTAGCTGGGCGGTGGTGGCGCACATCTTTAATCCCAGCACTCGGGAGGCAGAGGCAGGTGGATCTCTGTGAGTTCAAGGCCAACCTGGGCTATGGAGTGAGTTCCAGGAAAGGTGCCAAAGCTACACAGAGAAACACTGTCTTGAAAAACCAAAAGAAAAAAAAAAGTGTAGATCTAGTTGCAATGCTTACAGAAAAAAAATTTTTTAAACTACGAGGCATTGTGAGGACTGAAGGAATTACCATAAAGGACAGGTCACTACTTACAGCATACATGGGTCTCTTTGCCATTAATTGAAAACCCATTCTGTGATTCTATGCTACTCACTGTGGCTTACGTGTTTTAAGTGACTGCAGGCTGCACCTAGCTGTCCCATCTCACCTGCCTTCTGGACAGCAGCGTAGTGTACAGCTCCTGAGCCAGAGCCAGCTGGAAGCACTGCTAACAGCCTGAGCTGGAGAGGAAGCCTCCTCCGCTCCCACGCCCCATTGGTAGGAAAGGTGAGCCATGACTCCTGGCCAAACATGGAAGACTTGAGCTTTGAGCCAATCTCCTTGCGTAGCACAATGAGTTCCTCCTGTCCCATGCCTCCTCCAGAGAATGTTTGTTCCAGCTTTGCCTGCACCCCCAAACTTTACCTCCCATACTTGCAAAAATACAAGCTGGCCACAGAATGCCATTTAAGAGGCTTTCTCCATTTTATTTCTTTGGGAACGGAAAAATGAAAAGTCTTTCCATCACATATGGTAGATATATATATATATATTTATATATTTATATATAATTTATTTTGTGGTTGGACATTCCAAAGCTGTTCATTTTTTTTTCTCCCCCCATCTCTGTTTTGTTTTGTGTTAATGCCTTCTCCCAGTCCCTGTGGACCAGGCTCAGGCTCTGGAGCAGGTACAGTGAAGGATTAGAGGAATGGGCAGTGGTTGCCAGAGTGGCCTCCAATCAAGGTCAAAAACCCGTTGAGGACCACCCAGAAGGAGCTGTGCAAAGGGCCGGAGGGCACCAAGAGGGCACTCCTGTTTTTGTGGGCGGTACACAGCGTGTTGAACAGTCACCAGTCATGGGAGGAGGCTGGTCAGGGGTTGGGGACTTGCTCACAGTAGATACCAACCCTCTCCATCCGGACCCCAAAAGTTCATCTTGGGGCAGGAAGAGGGAGTGAAAAAGAGAAATACAAGGACTGAGGGCCAAGTCTCCTCTGATTGTTATTGCTGGTGAATTGGAAATTTTACTTTCTTAAAAGAGAAATTAGAATTTCCCTGCCTGTCTTGGGGAGAGAGACTCTGAGAGATTCTAGATAAGGAAGTGAGTGACCTTGACTGTCCCAACCCATGCCAGCCATCCCTGCCCGGACAAATAAGCCAACTCAAGAGTCTGGCGAGCAACCCGAGGGTCAGTGATCCTCAAAGGTTAGCCTTGTTCTTCAGGGACAGTCACATCCAACCCTGACTGGCCCCTCAAACAAGGGGCCCAGGCTCAGACTTGGGCCAGTGGGGTCTGAGAAGTGAGCAGGGCACCCAGAGTCGAGCTGGGCTCTCTGCCGGGAGCAAAGGTGAGACTCGGAGGAAAAGGCAGCCTGGGAAGGTGATGGGAGCGTGAAAGCAGGAGGCTGGTGGAGACAGTGAGGGAAAACACAGGAAGACATCAGACATCCATCTGAGCTCAGAAATGGGGTGAACAAAATACCTAAGAGGCAGGTAGCACTTCATAGCTATCGTTAGAGCTGAACAGTGACCCTGGGGACGGTCACCAAGCAGCAGGGGATATAGCCTTGTAGGATCCTGGCCAGAGGGTGAGGGTGGGGCTGAGAAGCCTCTAGGCGACCCTTTCCAAGAATAGGAAGGCAGGTCTCCCCTGGGTACTGCGCTTCCAGCCCCGACTCTCACCTCCCTCAATATACACAGAGGGGCACATGCTCAGGACTAGTCCAGGCTCTAAGGCCTGAGCCAAAGATACCTTGCTGGGGGAGGGGTTGGGCAGGTAGCCCTCTCAACCACAGGCAGGCCATCTGCTCCTACTTCTCTTGCTAATCTGCCTGGGGAAGGAGAACACCACATGAAGGAGAGAGACCAGGAGCCTAGGGTCTGTCGGCATTGGTAGACCCGCGCAGGCTCCTTCAGGCTGTGTGGCCTAGGAGAGCACAGACGGTAGCACTGGACACAAGGTGGCCAGCAGCAGTGGCCCAAGATCCGGGAAGGGGGCTAGGGTACTTCCTGGCAATTCAAGCCTGCCTCCATCTCCAATGAGAGGCTTTCCAGAAAAGGAGCATGCTCCCTGTACCTGGGACCTCACCCGCCATGCACTCTGCCCTCCCCGACGCTCTCCTTGGCAGGAGGGTCTGGAGTGGCTCCCCACAAAGGCAGTGCTGGAGCTGCATGGACTGGGGGGGAAGGGGGCTGGTCACAGCTGCTTTGAGAACCTCTTTGGTCTGGGGATATGCAGCACACATGGGAAGGGAAATGAATGGAAGGGAACATTGGTGACTCCGACCTTCAGACAGGGCACTTGTCAGAAGGTTGTGCACGCAGATAGAGAATCAGATTTCTGTGGACTCGATGCGCTCGAGGCGGGAGGGGGTCCAGGCTTTCTTCTCCTCACCATGCTGGGGAGTAGGCGTGCTGGCACCCCCTGCTGCCCCACGCTCCCGAAGCCGCCGCTCCAGCTGCTGGTTGCGCTGGTACATCTCCACATAACTCAGCTGGAGCTGTTTCTGGTACTCGATGACCTTCTCCTTCTCCTCCAACCACACCCGGCGCTCCTCTGCAAAGCTGGCACCCTGGCGCTCCCGGGCACGCCGCTCAGCAGCCAGCTCAGCCTGCAGTCTCCCCACCTCCCTGCGCAGGGCTCGCGTCCCACCCTCTCCCCCAGCATCCACCTCCCCATCGACAGAAACCAGGGAAGCCGCAGCTGCCACCCCAGCCTGCCGGCGCATCTTGGCCTCATCACTCTCACAGGAGGCCAGTGCCTCCTGTGGCTCGGCCAGGTCCACGGGGGTCAGTGCAGGCTTGAGGCAGGCAGTGGGCAGCTCGCCTTCACTCAGCTCCAGGCTGGCCTGTTTGCTGCCGAAGGAGTCCCTCAAGCTGAGCAGCTGTTCCTCCTTCTCCCGGAGGGAGGCTCTTCCCTCCCGAAGTTGTGAGCGCAGCCCCACGATCTCACTCAACTTCTGCGACACATCGGCCTGCGAGTCCTTGAGTTGCTGCTTCAGGAGGGAAATCTCCCCGGCCTTCTGGCACACCTGGACAGGGACAGGCAGAAGCAGAAGCCAGGGTAAAGGCGGAGCCGAGGGAGTAACCCAGCTCATCTCAACCCAGCTCCCAGATCTAGCTCCGGAGGCACGGAGCTTCCCCCGGACTCAGGCTCAGCCCACCGGGGGCTCCCTGCCTTACTCCGGACAGAAGCGTCTCATCTGACACAGTCCGAGGGCAGTCTCTAGTCTCATGGCCACTCTGAACTGATTCGGCCCTACTCCCTTCCCGACTTCCCTCCCACTACACATCAGTACGTTGCTGCTCTGGGGTCTCCAGAAAAAGAGAAGTTGAAAGGGAGCCAGAGAAGAAAGATCTAAGCCCCCAGCCCGCACCTCCCACTTAGTTTCCTCCATCCGGGGCAGGAAGTCGGCCTGCTCCTTCTGGCAGGCGGCCACCTTGTCCTCTAGCTCTTCCCGTTGCCTCATCAGCTGGGCCGCCTCCTCCTGCAGCTGCTTCTTGTCCTGCTGTAGCCGCAGCACCTGCAGCTGGAGGCCCTGCTGGGCGCGCTGGGCGCGGCGCGCCACCTGCTGCAGCTTCCCACTGCAGCCCTGCCGGAGCTCCGCCAGCTCCCGCTCCCAGGCCTTCTGCCGCTCCTCCAGCACCTGGGCCACGGCTGCCTCGCTCTGCTCCAGGCTGCGCCGCAGGGCAGCTACCTCCTGCTCCTTCTCCCACAGGCGCTCCTCCAACTCCTGGATCAGTGCACTGGGCGAGGGTGGTGAACAGGCTGCGAACGGCAGGCCCCCACTTCCGCCCTCCCCGGATCCCAGGTGGCCTGACCGCCCCATGGATGATGACGACCCGCTCTTACTGGAGGCCCGCCCGCTGTCGGAGGTCCCCAGATCTTGGTAGCCTGACCCCCCACCACTGCTGCCGCTACTATAGCCAGCAGTGCCAATCCGGTTGATATGGCTGGTGGAAGCACTGAGGGGTGCCAGATGCTGGCTATAGCTGGAACTATAGGTAGGCAGGCTTGTGAGTGAGTTCCGGCCTGAGTCTGAGAGGCCACCCCCACTCCCACCCGCGGGGGTCATGGTCCGAGACTTGTCCAGTCCGCCCTTGAGGCCAGCGGGGCCCTGTCGTCCCTCGGGGGTCCCATTGGTCTGTGGAGGACACAAGTTCTGCATGGAATGAAAGTTCTTGGGTACAACAGGTTTGAAGGCTGATGGCCGAACGAGTGGCTCTGAGCACTGCGTAAAAGGAAGGGGGGAAGAGGCATCAGACTGAGACCTTATCCTTGGCCCCTCCCCTTCCTTATGTCCAAGACTTGTTCGAGAACCACCTCCTGCCCCTGCTAGATCTCACCGAGTCTCCCCATCTGAGGCTCCACCTCAAGTCTCCCACAAGCCATCTCTGTCCTGGATCCACAAGAGAGACTCAGCCCCAGGATTGCACTCCAGAACTCCCCACAATAGCTCTCATCCCGGCTCCCAAGATTCCCCCTAAGGAGCCCCACCTTAACCTCCTGGCTCAGTTACCCTCCCCCCACACACACACACTCTAAACCAGGCTATGAGGCCCTCAGGTCCCGGGGACTAACCTGGTCTAGCTTGCCAGAGGTGGTCAGGAGCTTCGGTGGGTGGTTGGGTTCACGATACTGCGGTGGGGCCTTGTCGCTGGCCCCGCTGCTGCTGCTGCCCCCGCTGCTGCCCACCACATTACCACAGACGTCTGTGTGGTCACTGCCCCGCAGCTCGCCATTGAGGTAGAGAGAGTTGGCGAGAACCTTGTCCTCTGATGGGTAGCGGCCAGGTCTCTCCCGGCCGGCTCCGCTACCACCGCCTCTAGGACCAGGGAAACTGCCCTGGCTGCCCCCACCCCCTGTTCGAGTGCCCACGCTTTTCATAGGAAACTCCTGGGCATGGGTCACCCCACTACCCACACTGCCCATGGTCAGGCGGGGATCTGGGGGTCCAAGCTCAGAAGGCCGGGGGGCAAAGGCCAGGAGAGGATCCCTCCCGGGATCAGCGCGCACAGGTAACGTCTCCAGCTTCGCCATGACTAAGCCAGAAGGGCACTGTGGGCACAAGTGGGAAGGTAGAGAGGTCAGAATCCACCCCCGGCCCCAAGCAAGTCGGCCCGGGCCCGACTTTATCTCTGTGTTCCTTACAGCGGACCCCAGAGTATAACCAGGCTTCCAAGATGAAGGAATAGCTCTGCCTTTGTGCCAAGGTACCATGCACATGCCTTCTCAGCGGGGCTCACTCCTTCACCCCACTCCACCCACGAGCCTCCCAGACTCAGTGACTTAACGGCGCTGCAATTCCCAGAGTTCAGTTTTCACTAAATTTACCCCGGATCATGATTGCTACAGTCCAGCTTCCTGGGCTGGGAAGACGGGACTGGTTGAGAAAAGCAGTACCTGACTCCAAGAGGGCAAAGGAGAGATACAAATAACCCTACACAAAAAAAGGATGACAGACAGTGCGGGTCTTTCCCAGCAGCCCCCGCCCCAGTCAGGGGTGGTAAACAAGGTGAAGGCTAACTGCAGGCGAGATTTCTCTCCTTACCTTTTCAAACAGGTGGGGGGCCGGCGGGTCCTCAAGCTTGGGACCCTCCGAGGCCGGGTCTGCAGGGGCCATGTGGCTCACTCTGGAAATCCGGGCTAGGCCCGAAGCAGCTCCGTGCCTTTGGACTAGCCGACCAAGCCATCCCGTACTACAGTTTTCTCCTCTGTGAAATGGGAAGAATTGAAAACGGAGCTGCCGAGCGCCAGGCGCTCGCTCGGGAGGCGGCAGGCGAGGGAGAGAAGCCCAGTCTTGGAGGTGGGTGGGCGGAGCTGCCGCTGCGGCCTGCGCCAAGGTCGCCGGTGGGCGCAGCGCGGCCGCCGTGGTTATGCAGACGGACAGACTCGGGCTGCTGCGGCTGCAGCAGGTGGCAAGGGAGCCCTCCCGGAGGGAGGTTTTCCTAACGTGGCCTCGTGGTGGCCTGGCCCCAGAGGGCCCCACTCACTTATATCAGTACTCCATAGCAGTTCCTAAACGGGCAGAGACCGGGGCCAGGGACGCAGCCACACCAGAACACAGGCAGCCAGCTCCTCCCTCCTGGCTGTTCCCACAGGTGGGTGAAGGAGGGGCGGGACTTGCGCAACCAGTGATGATGACCCCTGAGGATGCCATGCCTGCTGAACCTTGCTAGGAATGCAGTACCACCAGGAAGAGTTCTTGGATTAGCCATTCCTCCTCACCCCCCCTTTCCCTTTGGACCTTGACCCCGTTCAGTTGACCATGAAGTCCTCTGAGCCAGTTCGGTTGGGTGTGCTCTCTCCCTCAAAGCTTACCCACAGGAGGGGGAGCAAGGCCTCCCGCTCAAAGAGGCCTAGCTTGCTTCCTGGTTCCTTTGTCTCAAGCCGGCACCTTGGAACACCTGTCCCGGAGAGCTGTATTACAGAGGTGGGCAGGGAGACCAGGCAAATCCCGGTCACTGGCATGAGGTTCTAAGAGCTCAAATGTGTGTGTCAGTTATGAAAGAGGGATGTGCTTCAGGCCTATAAACCCCAGAGAGCAGGCAGGGCACCCTGTTAAGAGGTCCATGCATGCTCCCCTGAATGCTCTGCAGACCTCTTTCTTCCAAGATGCCTAATTCTGATGCTGCTTCCTTCTTGTGAGGCTCCAAACCGAGGGAGGCTGCCCACACACGTGCCCTTCAATTTCTTCTGGCCACAGTCTACACTGTGGCTCTAGGTAGCGGGTAGGTTCACTAGCAAGCTGGTCGTCGACATTGCAGAAATTCATTCAGTGCCTATCCCTAGAGGCACGGGAAAGAGCATGGTTGCCACCCTCCTCCTTTGGGCCGTTCTGTGCTCACGTGCAGGCTGACACGAGTCTTGTGCACATGAAGCACCTAGGGAAACACTGAAGTGTGGGATATACAGGTGCGCCACCCCAAGAGTGAGGCCTCTGTACATTTATGCCCTCAGCCTCTTTTGCCTTACCCTGGCTCCTGCTGTCTCCACGTGGGAGATAGTCTAGCCTGCTAGCCCTCAGCCTGGAGACCCCCCCCCTACCCTAAGCATCGGCCACTCTCTCATCCTCCCTGAGTTCAATGCAGGGAAAAGCTGGGACTGGCAGGGTGAAAATCAAATGGCCTGAGGCTTGAAGCCAAGAAGGAAGCCTGGGCATGGTTACAGGAAGAACTGGCAAACCCTCATGCAGCTGGGGCTCAGGTGGAGGGAACATGAGAGGCGGCTCGGGCACAGGTGTGGGTGTGACATCATTAACATGACAGGGGGAGGGAGATTGTTCTGGAGAAATAGGTGTTGTTGAGAAGACCCAAAGATACCTCTTCCAGGGTGGAAAGACTGAGACTGTTAGCATCCCAGAGTGGTGTGGGCGGGCCCAGCAGCAAGGGTGGTGGAGGCCCATAAGTCTGGGAGGTAGTGTGCGAGCAGGAAAAAGTCCAAGAGACACTGGGCCCGAAAGCCAAAATGGGGAGGGGATTCAAAAGAGGGGCACGAACTAGCCTGGAGGCACAGGCCCATAATCTCTTCTACTCGGGATTCTGAAGCAAAGATCACAAATTCAAGGCCAGCCTGAGCAATCTGGTGAGACCCTGTCTTAAAAAAGAAAAAAGTGATTGGTGATCAACTGCTTCCCTAGCAAGTGCAAGACCCTAGATTCAAACCCTGGTCTAGAAAAATCAGGAAGAAGAGGAGAAGGAAGAAATGCAGGCAGGGGGAGCTGCAGGGCAGCCTGAGCCTGAGCTACTTGGGGGGGGGGGGAATCCCTTGAGCCCAGAAGTTTGATACAACTCTGAGAACAGAGTGAGAGTCCATCTTAAAACAAAAACAAAGAAGCAAAACAAAATGAGAGGGAGGGAGGGAGGGAGGGAGGGAGGGAAAAGGGAAAGAGAATACAGGGGCAGTTTCTAGTGTTGAAAAGAAGAAAGAGTCCAGAAGGGAAACTGGAATTGAAGTGTGGCCCGGATTTAGCAGCTGAAAACATGACTGGTGACGATGTCAAAACGGTTTTAGAAACCGGTGCAAAGCAAAAGCAGACAGAGCACAGGGATGGAAAGGTGCTGAGAGGAGACAGCTGAATCCTCTGTGAAAAGAGGCCAGAGTGGAGCTGGAGAGATGGCTCAGCGGTTAAGAGCACTGGCTGCTCTTCCAGAGAACCCGGCTTCAATTCCCAGCACCCACGTGGCAGCCCACAGCTGTCTGTGACTCCTGTGGAATCCAGCACTCGGGAGGCAGAGGCAGACAGATCTCTATGAATTTGAGGCCAGCCTGCTCTACAGAGCAAGTTCCAGGACAGCCAGGGTTACACAGGAAAACCCTATCTCAGAGAGAGAAAAAAATGGCTGGGGAGGAAGAGGACAGTAGAGGCCCTCACTTAAAGTTTGAAATCAAAGGGCTTTCCCTTTCTCTTTTAAAATTAACCCTGAAAACTTTCCATGGTGGCACAGAGGCAGGAGAATCAAGAGTTCGAGGTCTGCCTTGAATACATACTGAGTTTGAGCCCAGACCAGGCTTCATTAGATCCTGTCTCAAAAACACAAATGGGAAACACAATAATAAAACCACAGGCCAGGGAGATGGCTCCGTGAGCAGGAGGGTCTGCTGCGGGAGCATGAGAACCGGAATTTGAATCCCCAGCAGTCACACAAGCCAGCTGTGTCTGAGCCCGCGCCCGTAACCCCAGCACTGTGGAGGGCAGAGAATGGAGGAGCACTGAGATCGGCTGGCTGCCAGCCTAACTCTGGGTTCAGTGAGAGATCATGGCTCGAGGAAATAAGGCAGAGAGGGATGGAGCAGGACCCCCATCACCCCTCTGTGTGTATGCACACATGCACTTCACCAAAAGCCACAATTTTGATAGGAATTACAGATGTGATAGAAACACTGAAGGCTGACGCCACTAGTGAGATACAGGCAGAGGACCAGGAAGGGAGCTGCACCAGAGGCCGGGTGGAGGAAGGAACACACACAGGAGCGAGCAACCGTGTTGATTTTGAGTGACAGGGGATAACGTAATGAAGGTTTGGGAAGATGCTTTATAAAGAACTGCCAAGTGCACTCCTCCTGAGATCAGACCATAGTTTGGGGGTGGTCATCTGCCACTCTGCTTCACTCCTCCTCGAGAGTGGATCCTCGTCAAATTCAGATGCTTAGGGTCCTAGACGTTGTCCTGAGCCACCCCCTTCTCATGCTGTACATGAGGACTGCTCCGAGTCAACTGGTAGGCAGCTCCCAGAGTTCCTTGCCATGATTCTAACCTGTCATAGTCAACCCCTTGTAACTACTTCCTATCCCCTGCCTCTTCCAACCTTGAGCTCCAGCAAACTCTTTCCTCAAAACCCTAGTAGAGGAAGGACAAGGAGTGGAATATAGTTCCCTGGTAAGTAAGTAGGAACAGAGTCTGAGAGAGGCAGGGCTGAGCTCCCTCTGTAGGCCAGGCGCCTGGACTGGCCTCCGAGGGAACTGTAATCTGCAAGGGCAGTTGAACAGCATCACTCTGGGATGATAGCCTGTTGCCTGAGCCTGTCTCTGTTTTGGTTCCATCAACCCTCAGTGTCTGTGATATTACAACATTAGTAGTCAAGGGGGCCAGATGGACTCTGGCTAATAAACCCTTCCATGAGCCGGGCAATAGGGTTCTTGCAGCATCAGCTCCAGGTGTAAATCACAGCTCAGCTGATGGGAATGGAACCTCATGCAGATGATTCCACCTCAGATTCTCACACCTATCTTACAGCAGTTTAAAGAAGGAACCGTATTATGTGTCAACTGCCTGATATTCTTCTTTCTGGCACCCACAACCAAGTAGAGCTTGTAGCAGAGTCCTTAAGGCCTCTCCCGATAGCCATCCTATATTTCTCCTGACACGAGCTCTTCACTCCACCTACAACCTACTCTCAGCTCTCTGCCCATGCTATATTCCTCTGGAACCAGTCCAAATACTGCTTCTCAGCCTGGCATCCTTGATACCCCAGGGGTCTTGGAGCACTTAGCTCAGGATGCCCCAGGGAGATTTCACTGTGTAGCTTCCCCAAGGAGGCCGGTGTTACCTCAGGCCATAAAAGATGTCTTTAGGGGGTCTCTGGGCCCTGACATCAAGAAAATGCAAGGCAAATGCATGTGGGAATGTTGGTGATGAGCAATGCAAATAGGAAATGAATTCAGACAGAGGAACCAGGAAAGGCTTCCAGGAAGGATTAAGGGAAGGGATTCAGGGAGCAGAACTTCTTGGTTGGGATGTATGAGAGGAGATGCATCTTTCCTTGGGAACGTGGGCACCTGCAGGGGAGGAGGCCCATCCCCTGGATCCCAGCTCTGATGAAGCCGATGCTTAGGGGCTGAGGGTAACGACAGCACACCCCCACCCACCCGCTCACACAGGAGCCTGCCTCTGCTGTGCATGTGTGTCAGAGTGTGTGTGGGGGGAAGGGTCGCCATTCCTAGCACATAGACCCCAGCCACAAATCCTCTGCAAAGGTGCCACAGAGGTCCCTGCGGTTGGAGAAATTCCACCCAAATCTCCCTGGGTCCCCATCAACGCGCGTGGCCCAGGAGGGGGGGCGGGGTGCAGAGAGAAGAGGTGACATAATCCGGGCCGCACCCCCTCCGGCCGCCACCCCCCCACCCCCGCTGGGTGAAGCGTCCATGACATCATCGGCCTCATTCCCCAACTCCCGGTACCCTAGCAGCGGGACGCGCCCCCTCCCCAGCTTCCCACCGACTAGAAGCGGCACGCGATGCAGCGGGCATGGTGACCCGAGGGAGAACCTGGAGGGGCGCCCCGGCAGGCCTGTATCACTTACTCACTGCCTCAGAGTCCGGCGCAGAGGCTGAGACACCAGCGACAGCTGCCCCGCTCTCTGGCGCAGCCCGAAGCCCGCCCCGCTGGGCTCGCGGCGCGGCCCGGCTCTGCTCTTGGCCCCTCCCGCCCCGCGCCCGGCCCGCCCACCAGCGGCTGCGGCAAACGCGAGCCCGCCCTCCGACCACGCCCCCTGGAGCCACCAATCCTGGACGGGGGCGGGACTCGGTGCCTTAACCCCTTTGGTCGCTGAGCGCTGGCCCGCCTGCCCCACAGGCTGGGTGGCACAGATATTCCGGCCTCAGTCCGTTTTCACCACTGTACCAAATTCTTGGTGTCAGCCCCTAGTTTCCGCTCTCCAACAACTCCAGCATGTTCCTAGTCTCTCTGAATCCCACATCTTGAACAAAGAGTATGAGCCCTTTGGTTTGGGGACAACCCCACTTGGACTCTGATTCAACTCCTGCACCGGCTATTCGTGGTGCAGCCGTCCTAAAACCTTCAAATCGGGCTGGAGAGACGACTCGGTGGTCAAAAGCCCTGGCTGTTCTTCCACCGGACCCCATTAACTAACCCCATGGATTAATTCCCAGCACTCATGGTGACTAGTTCCAAGGGATCCCACACCTTCTTCGGGCCTCCGCGGGTGCTGCACAAATATGCGGTCGGAACAACCATACACAGAATATAAAAATTTAAGGAAAAACAAACACTTAAGATTCTTCAAACCGGCAATGTGCGTTCGGGGTGTGAAGGCACCTGTGGTTACCTTATCGCTGGAGGAAAGAGTCAATACACCGACCAATTTAAAACTTGGCGCTACAGGAAATATGTATTTTATACTCCAGTGGGGTTGAACGTTTTCACCTTGTGCTCGTGCCTGGTGTAAAACTAACAAGCCCGTTCCCCATCCCAGAGAGGCTGAGTGGTGTGAATACTTCATCTTGACTCAGATCGACACCTTCCTTGGCAAGCGCACGTGGAGTATACTGCAGTGACTGCCAGCCGCGCAGAAAGACTGCCTGAGGAAGCAGTCCGCCTTGAACTATGGCCTTGGCTTCATCAGGATGGGGACGCAAGCTAGGCCCAGACTTCAGCAAAAGGCTGGCATGAGATATAATTCATATCTGTTGTGATACCTGATAAGTTTGGCCTTCAGTCATCCTATGTCATAGTTTTTATCTTTTTTCTTTTTTTCTATAATTGTTTTTATTATCTATGATGACTTTAATGAATGCCTGTTTTCAGTTCTAATGATTGCCTTTAAATGTATTAAAGTTCCTATTTCACACTTATTAGTCAATGACAAATCAGTTTTATATTCTAGAACTCTGTAAACTAGCACGTCATGGAACTTGTAGTGGTCCTCCTGGCTGTGACTACCATACCGTGAGGTAAATTTGTTTTTTTCCAGTCAGAGAGGTAATGTGCCTGCTGCATGTCACACTTGCTTTACCCGATGAGCCCCATTTTGCTACCATTTCAATGAGCAGACAACAAGAAAAGGGTGGAAGATGGGGAGATTCTCCCAAGAGAAATGTTCTGTTTTTTTAAAAAAAAGGTTTGAGGCAGGGTCTCTCTACAGAGCTTGGCTGTCCTGGAACTCACTATGTAGACCAGGCTGCCAGGATTAAAGGTGTGTGCCACCATGCCAGGCAGGAGAGAATTTTGATTGACACACAATTAAGTATATTTTGAGGAGCTATGGTAAGGGTTTTTGTTTTTTAAGACAGGTTCTCACTGGGTAGCCCTGGCTGCCTGGTCCCCTAAATTCACTATGTATTCACCATGTTCCTGAAATCAGAGCTCTGCTTTCCCTCTGCCTCTGGAGCACTAGGAGAGGATGGTGTGATTCAGGGATAGTTAACCTAGTATGTATAAGAATCTCGGCTCCACCCAGCACCACACAGACCCCCATCCCCCCCAGATAGAGCTTCTCTGTGTAACAGCTCTGGCTGTCCTAGAACTCTGGCCTTAAACTCACAGAGATCTACTTGCCTCTGCCTCCTCCCAAGTCCTGGGTCTAAAGGTATGCACCGGCACACACCCTCTTT